TTTATATTTTTATATATATATATATATATATATATATATATATATATATATATATATCCGTAAATATGAGACTATTAATTAAGTTAGAAAAAATTACAATAGTTAATCATTCATTCTATGGTAATTTAATTAATTTTTAATTTTATTTGTTTTTGTTATCATGTTATAAATGTTATGTATTTATTTTTACACCAATAAATGTATTTATTCACTTATTTTACTGATTATTATTTATGTTGAAAAATTTAGCTGTCATTTTTAGTATAGTCTTCTCCTTAATCATGTTTTTATGAACATAAAATTTCACTTTAAAAAATCTAAACCCAATTCTACTTTGATTAACATATTGTTGTTGATATTTTATTAATCGAATATGAAAATTAATTTTAAGGCTTATAAGTAATTAGGATGACCATACACTGCAAGATAGTTCAAGATAAAATAAGAAAAAAAATATTAAAATACTACAAGACAAGTGTTCTAACAGTGAAAATTTAAATAAAACATATTAATATAAAAGAAAATGTAGAATATTTTAAAATTTAAAAATTATAAATACTGATTGAAATGAAAGTATTAAATGCGTAAGGGTATATTTTAAGAATTCACATAAGTTACTAAACAATTTCTTCCTTAAATAGTTAAATAATTACAAATTATTTTAAATTGAAGGATATATTTTTGTTTGAAAGGAAAATTGAAGGATATTTAAACCTAAAAGCATGGATTAACATTTAACAGCACCCATAAGATAATTCCAGTATTATTCCTCAAAAATTAAATCGATTCAAGTTTGGTTTAAGTGTATATTTTATAATGCTTAAATTAAGATTTTTTTAATTCTCTAAACAGTAAGTGATTATTTTTTTAAAAAAATAAATAAATAAATAAAACACACATTAAATAAAATATAATTCAACTCATATCACAATTTTGTTCTATACTTTGAATGTTTATCAAATACATAATTCCTAGTATAAGTATTTGTTTAAGTTGGTACGCGTATAATCCCACGTACATGACAGATTTTCAAACGAGTCCCATAAAGTCTATCCAAAATGTGATACATTGATGCGGAAAAAAGATAATGATAGATGTAACGTGATTGAAAAACAGAAGAAAAAAAAAGTTAAAATTAAAATTAAATAGAAGAAAAAACGAGAAATCTACACTAAATTAGATATGTATTTTTGGTATACACGTTTTATTAACTATTTTACTTTTAAAATTTTAAAATATTCTTTCTCTTTCATATATTTTTATTCTTTTTTTTACTACTTTCTGTAAATTCATTTTTTAAAATTTATACATATTCAAGTATATTTAATTTTAACTATTTTAATCATTTATTTTATTTTATTTTTTAAAAACAAAATACACAGAAGTTTTAAGTTTACGCTGGTAATTAAACTTTTTATTTTAAAAAAATATCTCTTGACTATATAAATTGATCACAAAATAGATCTTTTTTTATATCAATAGTAATAAGGAGAAAACACGTGCCGAACTCAAATGATGAGAAGTTAAGATTAAAATAATAGTTTTTAAAAATATTTTTTGCATTTGTATAGGAGAACAGCCAATAGTGAAAAGTTAAAGTAGTGCCTGAATGTCTTGTAGACAGTAGACAAGTATTCCGTATGTTCAGGTTCGTTAAGTCATTTTGTCTACTTAAACAATATATAAATGCTTCAAAATAAAAGCTAATAGTACGTAGTATTAAGCAATTATATGAGAGATCGTCTTTGTTTAAAAAAATTATAATATATATCAAAGAGGAGAAAAATAGAGAAGATAAAGGTGAGATAAGATACTTGATGAATGGTGTAAAAACTAATATAAAAATTATATAAACTTAGTATATGAAAAACATAACGATGATTATATTATATAACAATTTAATTATGATTATTGTATTAAACTCCTACACTATGGGAAAGTTGGTGCACTAATCTAAGAATAAAAGTCTAGGGATATGGAAAAACGATCATATATGGCAGCTTAGATCCTTAATTAACATCCCACTGAATTACAAAACTTTTCTTTTATAATTAATCCTTAATTTAAAATTAAAAAATGTTTTTAAGTTATACGCGTATGAAACATGAAATAAAACTAATTATGTTACATTATATTACCTGATATTAATTATTTTACATTCAAATAATACATTTCTTTCATTTCATAATAAATATCGTCTTGAATTATTTTTCATAGATAAAAAAGAATTAATAATTAGATGAAAAAATAGGATTTTATACAATAATTTTTTTATTAAAAATATGCAATAAATAATTATTTTTAAAAAATATTAAAAAGATAAATAAAAAAATAAGTAATATTACATTAAAAAACTAATATAACATTTATTTTAAAATTTGATTTTTCTTTTATCACGAGAAGGATTATGAAATTATTTCATCCTTGAATTGTTGTGATTAAGGATCTGTGATGGAAAGGTAAATTTTTAAGAGGAAAAAGATATACAGAGAGTGCAACTAGAACACAAATAATTAAGATCTCCTTGCTGGGTATGCCTCTCCTAACAGATCTGACGGCACATTCTACCACAGATGATTAGTTTCTTCATATTGAACATCAAAGTACAAAAAAGCTCAAAAACATATGCTTCTGAAATTTTAAACTTTTACAATGAGTTTATTCTATCTCCGGTATGTGAAAGAATCTACTGGCCGCCACTTTTCTTTAACCTTTGATATATGCAAGTAATAAACACGTGAAAACATAAACATATGTTCCTCTGTGTCTTTCTACATATATGTTTCTATTTCTGTCATCATTTTCTTCAAAGAGAAAAATATATGAATTTTCTTACATCATATTGGTCATCATGCATTACTTCAGGGAGAAACAAAAGAAAAAGAGAAAAATGAAGTAGAAGACTTACAAGTAGGTGTATATGTGTTTGGTTTTTTGTTATCTTGTTTTCCACCAATTTTATTTTGCATCCAGCTGAGAAACTGCAAATGACAAATGCGAAAAACATTCTGGTTGTGTGAATAACACGAACTAAATGTAAGATAATATCAGTATATTTCCTCTCTCTTTGCGGGAGAGAGAAAGGGAGAAGACCTACCTTCATTATGAGAGCAAGGAATGAAATGGGCTTCGACGCCTAGAGTGGAACTACCAGCTAGTTAGGGGAAAAAAAATATATAAGGGTGAGGAGAAAAGGTGGTTGGAAGATAGTGATTGTGAGGTGGGTAAAAAGGAGCCACTTTTTAACGAAGTTAAATTCTTTGTGGTCAGATCTTGGAAGCCAATTAATAAGGATTGAGGGCTGAGCTTGAGCTTTGGGAGTAGAAATTTAAGATGGGAATTTGATGAATTTTATGGTCAAATTGACCTTAGCCTGATTTCACTTTCGGTTCAAGTCCCCAAACACGTCTTAATTAATCGCCTCTCTACTTACCCTCTCAATTTTCAATATCTCCCTTTGTATCTCGCCAATCAATCTTCCCTCGTTAAGTAGAGAGAGGAAAAAATAAAATAAAAATAAATATAATAATTAAAGTAAACTTAAATTCAATCTTCATTTGCCATCATTTTTGTAATATTTTCTATTCTAAAAAAAAAGTATTCTCTCAATTTTTTTAATGTTACCATCACACTTTTTAATATATTTTTTTTATTAGTTAAATTTTGATAGTTTTATATTTTATTTAATTTTTTTCTATCTTTATCTTAATTTTTTAATATATAAAAATAAGTGTGTTAAGAAAAATGACTCTCAATTTTTTTTAATGTTACCATCACACTCTTTAATATATTTTTTTTATTAGTTAAATTTTGATAGTTCTATATTTTATTTAATTTTTTTCTATCTTTATCTTAATTTTTTAATATATAAAAATAAGTGTGTTAAGAAGAATGTGTTAGACAGTATATTATTAACACTACTCTTTTTAAATAGTAGTTTAATTAAGATTTTTAATATTAATATGAACAATAATGTAAATTTTTTTTTAAAATTAAATAATATTAACTACTATTTTAATTAGCATAATTAAATTTTTTTTCTTATATTTCAAATTGAAATAAGTACTATTATTTTATAGACTAAATTGTATTTTTAATTCTTTTATTTTTGTTAATCCATAATTTTGGTTCCTCTATCTTAAAATAGAGACATTTAATCTTTCTATTTTTATAAGGAATTTTGATTGTATCGCCAATTTATTGTGTGTTAATCGTTAAACTTTACATTATTCAATGACGTATCACTACTTAAGTAACTTGATATATAATGATGTGAAATGTAAAAATAAAAATTAAAAAAATAATATACAATAAAATATTAGTTTGTATATATTTTAACAAGTAATTAATATTAATTTTATTCATAAATCTTATTTACATGATTTTTTATAATTTTTTTGTCTTCAAATATCATATTATCAAATGACTCATCACTTAAATATGAATAAATGTTAAATTTTAATAATTAATAGGTGTCAACTATTTAACGAAAGAATTAAAATTTATATATTTTTTAAATTAATAATAGACTAAATATCTCTATTTTAAAATAAAGAGACTAAAATTATAAATTAACAAGATTAAAAATGTAATTCAACCAATCTTATAAGAAATAGTATCGACAATCCATTAATTCCTTTTAATACATTCTTTCTAATTCATTAAAGGTTATTGAAAATTATTCTCTTCCTCTATTCCTTTTTATTTTGAAACCTAAGGTTTTGACACAAAAATTTAGAAGTGTAATTAATAATTTAATTTTATAAAAAAAAACACTATGTAACTTTCTAACAAATAAAATACTATTATTTTGGTTCTTAAAAGTGTAGCATATAATAATATTAGTTCCTAAGCTTTAAAAACTTCAAATAAATTTTCAAAATGTCTAATTATTTCATCTAAGTTTTTAAAACTTAATCATTTTGGAAATATTTGTAGGAAAAAAAAATTTCATGCTCAAAAATTATGGTTCCTAAAAATAAAAAATCCTGAAATGATTATTAATCATAAATGTGTTTGAGAATATCTATTAATATTACTTAAGAATCAAAAAAATTTATTGTATTAATTAAGAAAATTAAAATAACATGATATTTTTATCACATATTTTAACTCAAGAATAATAAATTCTCATTTATCTTATATTTCTAAAGAATATTATTTTTTATATGTTAAACCAAATGTGAAATGTTAACGTTCACAACTTTAAATTCTTAAGAAAAACATTCGGTATATCAAGCTCCCCTTAGAGTCTTCTTAATTAATCTCCAAATCCATGTTAAAAAAAAAACTTTTTAAAATTTTAAACTCATGTGATTAATAAATTATACTTTCAATTATATATATATATATATATATATATATATATAGGGTGTCATAATTATACCGGTGTAACTTTTACTAAGTATTACATCGTTCAATAACTTTATATTAATTGTAAATTTTGTAAATCCAACCGATAGATTGGAAGTTCATATCACTTTATACATGTATATCAAAGTTTGTTAAAATTGAACAACAACTTAAAGGTAATCAAAATGTTCATATTTTAGTGTATTTTGAAATAAATATATCACGACAATTTTGTTTTATAAAAATGAAATATCAAATCATCTTGGATTCCGATCTGTTAAGATGTGTATTCGACCTCGAATTTTGACTAAGTAATTGTTGTGAAAGTTTGTAAATGACCCTAGACTGGAGTCAAAGTCCGAATTCGACCTTAAGTTGGTCGTGCCGGGGTTTGAATTCGACCCCGGTACTGAGAGTGGGGTGTGCTTTGCCAGGGTTCAAAGTCGTCCTTAAGTTAGCGGTTCGTGCTCGACCCCAGATTATCGTGTTCGAGGTTCGTGCTCGACCTCGCTTTAAAATGAACAACACAATTAAGGTTCGAATTCGACCTTATCCTTAGAGTCCCGAGGTTCGTGCCCGACCCCGGATTATCATGTTCGAGGTTTGTGTTCGACCTCGCTTTAAGATGAACAACATAATTAAGGTTCAAATTCGACCTTATGCTTAGAGTCCCGAGGTTCGTACTCGACCCCGGATTATCATGTTCGAGGTTCGTGTTCGACCTCGCTTTAAAATGAACAACATAATTAAGGTTCGAATTCGACCTTATGCTGAGAGCCCCGAGGTTCGTACTCGACCCCGGATTATCATGTTCAAGGTTCATGTTCGACCTCGCTTTAAAATGAACAACATAATTAAGGTTCGAATTCGACCTTATGCTTAGAGTCCCGAGGTTCGTACTCGACCCCGGATTATCATGTTCGAGGTTCGTGTTCGACCTCGCTTTAAAATGAACAACATAATTAAGGTTCGAATTCGACCTTATGCT